TCCTCTCGAAATGCTTGTGGTGACCTACTTTTATCAACAGAACGCGATTGGTGTGATGGAAACAATTACTATTATAACCAATTGTATCAGTGATTGTTTTACTGTACTTTTTTGTTTAACTGTACCAAAGACATTCTTCCTTCCGTTGATTGTGACCTTGCATGGATTCGGTTACGTTCAGTAACCACACTTGTAACTTGGCACGATGTCGGTATCCTTTCGACGCCACGAGATCACCAACAAATATATTTCGCGACACCTCCAACCGCCTTCTGATACTTGGTACGCAACCTTTTTGTAGTGGTGAACATAGTCAAACGCGATTCGACGCCACGCTACATGCTCTCACACGGCCACGCGTATACAGCCTCTACCAGAGAAGTCCTACTAAGTGCCTTCTCGTGGCGCGAGTGTTATTCAGAAAATTGAGACGACGAAAAGCGAATGTCCGGCGCTTTAACCGGGTTGGTGGACACGGAGCGTCCACCAAGGGGAGTTGGAAAACCTAGATTCCAGACCAATGAAACACATGGGCCTCAGTATCCTGAAGGAAGAAATGGCGTATGAACCAATCTCTTGGTGACCGGCTACCATAGGACTGCATCTCCTCACGATGCTTCATTGCCTTGTGGGTCAGACCTTCAGGTCAAAGGCTCGGGGTGTGGCCCCCTAAGAAAACCACCTGCTTCGGTCTGGGCACCCGGGCAGTATCTCAGCCCACAAACAATAAGAATGAAATGACGATATTCACTGAAAATACTATTCACGCTTCGATTGAAAGTCAAATAATTCATATTATTATTTACCAGGTCACTTATTCACTCTCTTTTATTCCCACTTCGTGTATCCTTATTTTTCAACTTATACAACAGCTCGCCTATGGTGAAAATTTGGTTCTATCTAAACGTTTTCGAGTCACTGCCTGGTCGAAAATTAAATGCTACCACCGAATACGAATACTGAAGTTTTTCTGAAACCACGTGCACCATTCAAACTGGCTGCCTTCAACGTTCGCACACTAATGCAGATCGGACAACAGATAGGGCTGGCTATGTCTTTGGGACGTCTTAATATTGACGTGTGTTGTCTATCCGAGATCCGTATTCAAGACTCTAGTGAAGTACTACAAGTTCGCTTTCTATCTGTCACTGCAAAAAGCTTGTTTTATGTGCGTTTATGCGGGGACCCTGTGGCATCTTCGTCTGGTCTTGCTGGCGTTGGTGTCACACTAAGCGCTAGTGCTGAGGCAGCACTAATCGACTGGATCCCCATTAACAGTCGGTTATGTGCTGTTAGATTAGAAAGTTCCATCAAAGTGAGAAGAAATCGGCGTGAGAAACGATGTCTTTTCGTCATCTCCGCCTATGCCCCGACAGATTGCAGCCCGGATGCAATCAAGAATGAATTCTACCACCAGTTAACTGTTCTTCTCCAGAAAGTGCGTTCGACAGATATTGTAGTACTAGCCGGAGAATTGAATGCTCAGGTAGGGCTTCTAGGCACAGAAGAGAGTCGTTTAGGTGGCCGATGGGGACTTGTTGGTCGCAGGACAGATAACGGGGAACGTCTACTGCAATTGTGCATAGATCACAACCTGTTTCTGGCTAGCACTAACTTTCGGCACAGTCATCGCCGATGTGCCACCTGGCGTCCCCCTTCTGCATCTCAAGCCTGGACTCAGATTGATCACATAGTGATCAGCTACCACTGGCGTGGTTGTGTACAAGACTGCCGCTCCTTTTGGAGTACCTATCTGGAATCTGATCATGCTCTGGTCTGCGCCAATCTTACCTTACTTTTCAGTGGACAGCGAAGTGACCGCCACCAAAGGATTGATGTTAGCAAGCTGGCTGCAACTTCTGTTGCTAGTAAGTACCGAACCGAGCTAGCTTCTAGGCTAGCTACCATTCCACCGAAAAGCATAGATGAGCATTTGTTGCAATTACATGACGCCATGAAAATGACGGGTACAGTCTGTTGTGGGTTTGCGAAACGTCCCGCTTACAAGCACTGGGTTTCTTCTGGTTCCTTAAAACTCATTGAAGCCCGTCGGTCTACTCCGGGTGACCGTGAGTTCGACCACAGACGAAGGATGTTACGTAATGAAATCGGGCAAAGCTTGCGTAAGGACCGAGAAGCCTGGTGGTCGGAGCGTGCCAGTGAGTTGGAAGCAGCAGCTGCATCTGGTAATTACCGGAAGCTCTTCCAACTCATCCGAGCCACTGGCAGCAAGAAGTCTGGTGTGAGCGAAACAATCTGCGAGGATGACGGAACGCCAATCACTAACATCCATCGACGTCTTGGACGATGGGCAGAATTCTTTGAAGGGCAGTTCAACTGGCCTGCTGCTCCGGCAACATCGGTCAGACTGTCCTGCCCTCCATGGCCGGTGACGACTGATCCACCAAATGAGGCGGAAGTCCGCAAGGAACTCCAACTCTTGATGCGCTACAAATCGCCGGGCCCAGATGACTTACCTCCGGCTCCTTTTGAAGATGGTGGTGACTTTCTGGTTAAGGAACTGACTGTGGAATGAGTCGATAGTTGTCTCTATCTTTAAAAGGGTTCACGTCGTTCCTGTAACAACTATCGGGGGATAATTCTACTTCCGATTGCTTCCAAACTATTGGCTTCCGTTATACTTCGTAGGTTGTTCAAAACCTGAGAAAGACTGACTCAAGAGGGGCAGGCTGGTTTTCATTCTGGTCGTGGATATTTTCCCCTCTCGGCCAAATGTTAGAACACCGCCATACTTATCAAAGGCCAACAATCGTAGTGTTTCTTGTCATCAGGGCTGCATTCGATTCGTTAGATAGAACTGTTCTCTGGGATTGCCTATTGAAGAAGGGTCAGTCAGTCAGACAGCTGCAACGTAGGACCAGGCACGTATATGCATCGGTCCAAGTTGTCATACCGCATTAGCACAACAAGATGAACACCGGATTTATAGAAGTAGTTAATTCAGTGGTGGTACTATATAGAAGAAAGAGTGTGTATAAAGAGATAGTACAGGAAGAAAGAATTAGTTCCCAGAAAGAAAGACATGAAGCGATTTTAATCTCTTAGTTTAAAAGAAGACAGAGAGTGTATACACCGACGCCATTGTGATCGATTCTGAGCCATGTCACCAAGAGTCTCCAACCATTGGTTACGATAGTCACGCGGACCCCAACCAAGTAGTCTGCATCTACCAACATGGCTCAGACCAGAAGTTAGTGACTTCAAGCACTGATGCCACGTTTTGGTTTGGCCGCCCCTAACTTTCTTCCAGTCATCCCTAACACCGGTTACCATTGCGCGTCGTGGTAATCGGTGTTTAGGCAGAAGGGTGTGCCTGAGAAGTTCATTAACGTCTTAAAAGCCCTATATACAAACACCTCAGGCAGAGTAAGGGCATACAACCACCATTCTCCATTGTTCCATTCGAGCAGTGGAGTTAGGCAAGGTTGCCCAATCTCACCATTCCTCTTCAACTTTGCCATCGATGACATTCTGAAAACAGCTCTGATGGAAGTAAGTAATGGTAGTGTGGATCTGTTGTCTGGAGAAAGACTTCCCGAACTTGAGTATGTGGATGATATTGTCTTACTGTGCGATAATGCCCAAGCCATGCAATCCACACTTAATCAGTTGGCAATCAATGTCCGTAGGTATGGTATGTGCTTTGCACCTTCGAAGTGCAAAGTTCTTCTACAAGACTGGCAGGATTCTAATCCTGTACTCACTCTGGATGGTGAGCAGATAGAAGTAGTCGGGAAGTTCGTGTATCTAGGTAGCTGCATAAGTGCTGGTGGTGGCGTGAGTGATGAGATCGATTCACGTATAGTGAAAGCCATAGCGGCTTATACCAATCTGGGCCATCTTTGGCGCCTTCGTGATGTTAGTCTGGCTGGAAAAGGTCGGATATACTACAACGCGTCGATGAGAGCAGTTTTGCTCTATGCTTGTGAAACCTGGCCTCTCCGAGTTGACGATGTTAGACGACTCTCTGTGTTTGATCATTGTTGTCTCCGAAGGATCGCTGACATTCAGTGGCAACACCATGTTAGTAATGCAGAGGTTTGGCATCGTGTGTTCGGGCACAAGACGATAATTCCATTGGTGTCATCATCTTGAAACACCGACTTAGGTGGCTTGACTTCGTTCTACGAATGTCGTCGAAGAGAATTCCACGTCGTGCATTATTTGCCGACTCTTGGACTGGTTGGGAAAAGCGGAGCGGTGGTCAGTGTATGTGCACGTGAATGACTCCTGGTGTTTATAACTGTTTAAAACTGGGGGTCTGTCAAATACTGAACACAAAACTGAGTAGTCATAATTTAGTGGAGCTCTTCATTTTGACATCAATTAGATCGGACGATGGTATCGACGGACTCACCACTTTAGTGGTCCGAATTTGACTGCAATTGGATCGTATAAATATGATTGAAATATACATATTGACTTTCTTCGTATATAGTTATCAACTTAGATCACTAGTGAATAATGGAATTAAATAAGCCAAATACGAGAATGGATTTCGAATATTTATATTGCATACAATCGTTGATCCAAACAAACAAGCGAAGCGAAATGACACGCGGTGGATAAGTGTGAACCAGCTCGATTTGATCAAGCTTTAATCAATATTTATAGTCACAGAAAAATAAGCCACAGACATGTGATGAGTAGGATAATATGTACACACACATTAGCTCCTATAAAAACAATCGGGGTTGATAAGTGAATAATCAGGAAAGTCAAAACATGACTCAAGTAGAATGGATAAATTGGCATGTCCAGAAGCTAGAATAAGTTATATAGGCTTAACATAGTAACCAACACTACAATAACACTGAGTTTGTAAGATAACATGAACGACAAAGCAGATTATTTGATATTTATTTATAAGGATAGAGTACATATAACTGACCGACAGAACTTAATGGCTATATTGTAAATGTAACACAAATCCATTTGTTCTGCACATCTTGGATAAACTGTACAGTTAACCAGAATTCTTATTTACGACGTCTAGAATAGTAGCGACCGAGACCAATACCAAATAAAGCAGCTGCTCCAAAAACAATTCCACTGACAACTAAGCCGGTCATCCCAACTGTAAATAAATAATCAATGGACAACCTCAATCGTTTCATCACAAATTCTCGGGTAACATCCTAAATTTAATTTATTTTCGAACCGCGTTTACGCCTATTTTAACAATAGATGAAACAGGAGTGGTGAGTCAGTGCCCAAAGGAATCCCAACAAGGAAGAAATAGCTCGCTTGATCCCGACCGTTGTTGCCACCTTGACGTGATGGTCGGGCTTGCCTATCATGATGAACCAAACGAGCTATACTGGCTGAAACAATCGTTCTTCATGATCCTACCATGCCAGACAGGTCGGTTGAAAAACGGTAAGACTAAAAGCAGCAAACCCAAGGTCTGAGTGCGAAGTCGTACTGTTACATATACACAGGTGTGACAGCAGTAAGGTGTTTCCTTCAGACAACCAGCATAACAGAGATGCTACCTTCCCACAAGGAAGGAAGGGTTAGGAAAGGTCGATCCTGAAAATGTCGCACCTCACCTTACCTCACGGATATCCGTGTCCGGCGGTAAGGTCTCAACAAGTACGGAGCTAACACAAAAACTACTCATAAAAAGGTCGTGTGTGACCGACCTCAAGCAGCTGTCCCTTGGGCACTGCGGTCACGCCTTCAGATCACTATAACCACCTCTAACCCAATTTCTTTTTCAGGTACCTCCAGAAGAACCCTTCCACGGTGTGGGCAACCGGGAAGTGATAACCGCCCTCATACTTCTAACAGCACTCAAGATCACTGTATTCATAATCAACCTCCATCTTCAATTCCTATTATTCCTCCTATATCGACTTTCTACGCTAAACTTCCTTTTTTGGTTTCCTCCTCAAGCGCGAAACGCTGTCCCAGGTCTACTGAAACCTCGCTCCAAACTACACATTGGAGCCTTCAACGTACGCACCTTATGTCAAATTAGCCAGCAAGCCTCCTTGGTTAAAACCCTAGAATCTCGTACCACTGATGTATGCTGTGTCTCCGAAACACGCATACAGGATCCTAGTGTGGTCGTTCACTCGACCTCACCTCACCAAAACAGGGAGCCGCCGAGATACACCCTCCGTGTGTCTGGCGACCCGATGGCTAGTTCTCGTGGATTAGCAGGTGTAGGCATAGCACTAAGTACGAGGGCAGAACAAGCATTATTAGAGTGGATCCCTGTTAACAATCGTCTATGTGCTGTTAGGCTAAACAGCTCCGTAAGAAGTTGATAGGGAAGGGACACACGTTGTTGCGTTTTCGTCGCTCCCACAGACTGCAGCCCGGATCAAGTGAAGGATGGCTTTTACAAGAAGTTTTCTGAACCTCTTCAAAAAGCTAAACACTCAGACATCGTACCGGTATCAGGTGGCTTTAACACCCAAGTAGATGGCTTAAACCAAACAGAAAGACATTTAGGTGAGTATTTTGGCTCAGCGAACAGATAATAGTGACTATCTGCTGAAACTGTGCTCAGATGATCGTTTATTTTTAGCAAGTACTAATGTTAAGCATAAGGAGAGACATCGTCTAACATGGCGACCCCCTGCAGAGAACCAACGATGGACTCAAATAGACCATATTGCCATGTTATCGTTGGAGAGGGTCGATAGAAGATTGTTGCTCATTCTGGAACACCTGCTTGCACCCCGACCATGCTCTAATACGGGCACGCACCTGCCTGCACCTCTCTGGGAGCAGAAAAGCCATACTAAAAAGACCCATTAGAACTAAAAAGAGTGACAAGAAAGCCGAAAGTAGATTCCAGGAACAACCGAGGTCACACTTAGGTAGTTCTGAAGACGAAGCTGACCAAAATGTTTCTTGGAAAGATATACAAACAGCTGCAACATCTATTAGTGATTTAAACCAAATGGTTACGAAAAACCAATGGATTTCTGCTAAAATTATTGCACTGATGGATTCTCGTAAACTCATCCCATCAGGCTCTGAACACGATGAAGAACGAAAACAAAGCAGATATAGGTTAATCAAAAGTCTAAGGAACGACCGTGAGCAGTGGTGGCCAACAAATTTAAAAGAGATGGAAAAGGCGGCGGCTGTAGGTAACGCAGGACAGCTATACAGACTAATAAAAGGAACTGGAATTAATAAGTCAAGTGTAAGTGAGACTATCTTGGAAAAAGACGACACTTATCTGATCTCAATCCAGACGTTTAGAGCAATGGTCGGAACACCTAAAGCAGTTCAACTGGCCTTCAGCTACTCTACAACTAACCACCATCCGCAGACAGTGTGAATGGAACATTGAAGTAGGTCCCGACTCAATCTGGAGTTCAAAAGGTTATAGCTAATCTAAAACGAGGAAGAGCAGCTGGTCCAGGTGGATCGGCTCCAGAGGTCTTTAAGGATGGTGGTCCAATTTTAGCGACTAGGTTGACTAATAATTTAGCTAAAATCTGGGAGTTGGACGTAATCCCCTCTGACTTGTCACAATCACTGATTGTCCCAATATATAAAAAAGGGTCAAAATCATCCTGTGATAAACGTAGAGGGACTAGTTCGACTAATATAGTATGTAAAATACTCGCCTCAATAATTGTCATACGCTTAACAAGGACTCGTAAACTGCAAACACGAGAAAATCAGGCTGGCTTCAGACCTGGTCGTGGCTGCATTGACCGCATATTCACCAATCGTCGGGTTCTAGAACACAGTCATGTTTATCGGCATCCGACAATGGTGTTCTTTCTTGACTTAGAAGCAGCATTTGACTCTGCTGACCGAGAAGTTCTGTGGCAGTGTCTGTCATTGAAAGGCGTACCTCAGAAGTACATAGTCCTGTTTGGTAAAGACGCTGATGAAATGCAGAGTCTTTTGGTAGCACTGAGCAACAATGCCAGAATGTTTGGGATGCGCTTCTCTTCCTCTAAATGCAAGTTGTTGCTTCAGGACTGGACTGCGTCAACACCTGAACTTAGGACAGGGAGTGAAGTAGTCGAACGCGTTGACAACTTCACTTAACTTGGAAGTCTGATCAGCCCTAATGGGTTGGTGTCTGACAAAATCTCAGCACGGATTCGAAAAGCTCGTTTGGTTTCTTCCAACTTACGTCACCTGTGGCGAAGGCGAGATATCCGTCTATCAATTAAGGGACGAGTATACTGCGCGGCAGTTCGTTCTTTTCTACTATACGGCTACATAACGTGACCATTAAGAGTGGAAGATAGTCGTAAGCTACCAGTATTTGACCACAGATGCCTTAGAAATATTGCTGGCATCTGCTGTGATAACCGGGTAATTAATAGTGAAGTTAGATGCAGGGTATTACGGAATGACGGTAAATTAGTTGATGGGGTTGTGAATCTTCATCGACTGAGATGGTTGGACCACGTGTTACGTGTGTCTGAACGCCGATCACCACGACGCGCAATGCTGACTAGTGTTGGGGATGGTTGGAAGGAAGCTAGGGGCAGCCAAACCAAAACGTGGCATCAGTGCGTGAAGTCACTAACTTCTAGTCTTAGCCATGTTGGTAGATGCAGACTACTTGGTTGGGGTGCGCGTGACTATCGTAACCAGTGGTTGGAGGCTCTGGGTGACATGGCTCAGAATCGATCACAACAGTGTAGGTATATACACGATCTGTCCTCCCTTAAACTACGAGATTAAAATCGCTTCATATCTTTCTTTCTGGGAACTAATTCTTTCTTCCTATACTATATCCTTATATGCAATCTTTCTTTTATATATTACCACCACTGAATTAACTACTTCTATAAATCCGGTGTTCATCTTGTTGTGCTAATGAGGTATGGCAACTTGGACCGATGCACATATGTGCCTGGTCCTACGTTGTAGCTGACTGACTGAGTTCGCTTAATTTCTTCAAGCTTAAGCAGTGTGTTCGGTGAGAATTTTCTTCATTATCAATCAATATTTTAAGCAAACACGAATGAACAGTAGCTCACTCTCCACTGACTTATGACTGTAAAATGATAGGAAAACCGGTAGCAGACATGCGCAATATAGTGAAGACCGAAAGTCTGCAAAAGCCATGAGCACAATGTCCTTTTGGACAACCAAGGCAGCAAATAATACACGTGTGTGGGGTGTCCAGACAATGTAGGGGGCTGAGAGTACCATTTGAATAGTTTTATACAGAGGATACAATATGGCTTTTCTTAGAACAAGTAAAACTCATTGGACACAATCTGGATACAAAAGACTAACCCCAGGAGAAATGTTATTGTATTCTAGTCATTAAAAAAATACCCCTCATACACAAGGAGTTGCACCGATACCGTCAAAGGGGGCACAAGCGTGTTTATAGGATGGGAGACTCATAGATCCAGGATCATTACATCCTTCAAAACAAAGGATTCTATCCAGTGCTAAATATCAATTAACGACGGCAGCGAAAATGGTAGAGGCTAGTTTTATGGCAGGCTGTAGTCAGTCCTAAAGAAGAACGAGAAAACACTAGTTAGAAAGAGCTGGACAGAACGATAGAAAGCCAAGGCTCAGGCTAAATATGTAAAAGCATACAGACGAGTGAGGAAGAGCATTAAAGCTAGCAAGAAGAAATACGTAGATCTGTCAACTACAACAGAAGGAAATATAAAACTTTATGATACAACCAAGGAGGTATTAGGGAAACATAGTAAACCAGAACGATTAATCAAGTACAAATGAAGAAAATTATTCAGTGCGGTTCAAGAGCAGCGGAACATGTGGGTAAAGCACTTTGAATAGGCCAGCGCCACTACACTCACCAGACATCAAAACGACACACACGAACCTCCCCATAGATTATACTGCAACAATAATGGGAGGAAGTAGAGAGACTATCGTAAATATCAAGAATGGCGAACCAGCAGTACCAAGCAGCGTACCGACTGAACTCAGGCATAGAGGAAACTGCTGAGATGACCCACGTTCTCTCTGAAAAGTCATAGGTTTTAAATACAATCATAAATCCTTACGTCAATATGCGAACGACAGCGTGAAACTAAATTCAATAACGTTTCAAAGTCCAAATATACATACAGTCAGTCAGTAACAACGTGGAACCTCGTTCGTACATACATCAGTTCCAGTTACCATACCACATTAGCACAGAGATTCAGTTATTGATTCAAATCCTGTAGTGGTAGAGGTAGTAAGAGTATAAGCAGTAATCGGAAAGATTAGGGTTTGATGATGTTATTCAAGGAGTATAATGCAGTGGAATAGATTTGGAAAGAAAATAAAGGACATGAATACAGAAGATTAGAGTTTGAGAGAACACAAAGAGTGGATGCACCTGAGCCATTGCAAATGATTTTGAGGCATGTCATTCAAGGTCTCTAACCATCGGTTGCTATCATCTCGCTGTCCCCAACCAGGTAGTCTACACCTACCAACATGACTCAGTCCACTTGTCAGTGACTTCATGGATTTCTGCAATGTTTTGGTCTGGCCACCCCTAGCTTTCTTTCAACCTACTCCTACACCAGAAAACTTAGCACGTCGGGGCAGTCGGTGGTCGGGCATGCGTAACACATGTCCTAGCCATCTCAACTGATTAAGTTTCACTACTTCGCAATTCTTACCTAGTACCCGTTTCCTAACAACTGAGTTACTTACTCGGTGGTCCCAGGATGTACGAGCAATGTTTTGAAGACACCTATGATCAAATACTAGTAACCTACGAATATCCTCTACTCTTGCCGGCCATGTTTCCCTGCCATAAAGTAGGACGGAAAGGACTGTTTCTCAGAAAACACGTCCTTTGGTTGATAGACGGATATCTCGCCTACGCCACAAATGACGCGAGTTGGTAAAAGCTAGTCGAGCCTTCTGTATCCGTGCTGAGATTTCGTCACACACCAGACCAAATCCCCCAAATGCCCTAGTACGGCCAAGAGTGGAGAGATCCGCTCAACCTCTCGAAATGCTCTCACATGGCCACGCGTATATAGCCTCTGTCAGGGAAGTTCTACTCACTGCCTTCTCGTGGCGGGGGTGTTGTTTACGAAAATGAGAGGACGAAAAGCGAATGTCCGGCGCTTTAACCGGACCCCAAACCAATGGTGCACATGGGCTCCAGTATCCCGAAGGAACAAATTGCGTATGAACCAATCGTTGGTCCCCGGCTACCTTGGGACTGCATCTCCTTACGATGCTCCACTGCCTTGTGGGTCAGACGTTCAGGTCGAAGGCTCGGGGTGTGGCCCCCTAAGAAAACCATTTGCTTCGGTTTGGGCATCCTGTCAGTATCACAGCCCTCACACAAATCAATTGAGATTCGTGTGGCGCATATGTACTTGGTGCCTACTTGTACCTATACCTGTGTTAAAATAAATAAATAAATAATAAGACCACAAGGGCTGATGAAACTTCCGAGATAAGTGAAGCGGTCGACACGCACAACTACTTCACTCCCTATCACTAGTTCGGGTGGCAGTGCGACCTTATCCTGAAGCAACATTTCGCATTTCGAGGGAGAATATCGCATGCCGAACATGCTTGCATTGTTGCTTAGAGTGGCCAGCAGACTCTGCATTGTCAGCGTCTTCACTAAATAGAACTATGTCATCGGCATATTCTAAGTCAAAACGTGAATCTCCCAGTAAAAGTTCAACCCCTGGAAATTCAGATGAGGAAAGTGTCATCTCTAAAAGGACGTCAACGACAAAGTTAAACAAGAATGCAGAGAGTGGAGGACAGCCCTGACGAACACCACTTGAGGTAATCAGTTCTGATGACAGTTTGCCATAAGCTCTCACTCGACCAGTTGTGTTCGAGTAGACAGCCATGACAAGGTTAATGTACTTCTTTGGTACTCCTTTCAGTGACAAACACTGCCATAGAACCTCACGATCAACAGAGTCGAATGCCACCTTAAGGTCGAGAAATACTACCATTGTGGGGCGTCTGAATGTGTGTCTATGTTCTAGGACCTGACGTAGTGTGAATACCTGGTCTATACAACCACGTCCAGGTCGAAAACCAGCCTGGTTTTCTCTAGTCTGCTCTTCACGAGCTTTGGTTAGACGTCGAAGTATTATTGAAGCTAATATTTTAGACACTATATTAGTCAAACTAATTCCTCTGTGATTGTCACAGGAGGACTTTTGTCCTTTCTTATAGACTGGCACAATCAGTGATTGAGACCAGTCAGATGGGATTACGTCCAGTTCCCAGATTCCACCTAAGACCTCAGTCAATCTCGCTGCTAATACTGGACCGCCATCCTTAAAAATCTCAGGGGTAAACCTGTCAGGGCCTGCTGCTTTCCCACGTTTCAGATTTCCTATGGCTTTTTCAACTTCGTAAAGAGTCGGAGGACTTACACTAATTTGCCATTCAGGTCGACTGGAGATCGTGGGAAACCGAAGTGTGGCTGAAGGCCAGTTGAACTGATCCCTAAAGTGTTCTGCCCATCGATCCAATCTCCTGGATTGAGAATGAATAATATGTCTATCTTTCTTTGCGATTTTTTCGCTAACAGTTGGGTTCCTAATACCGGTTTCCTTAACAAGTCTGAACAGTTGTCTGCTTTTACCTATTGCCACTGCCTTTTTTCATCTCTCTTGCTTTCGCTACCCACCACTGTTCACGATCATTGCGGAGGCTTCCAGTCAGCTTACGCTTAAGCTGACTCCGCTCTTCTTTATGTTCAGAGCCAGACGGGATGAGTTTTCGAGCATCTATCAGTGCGGTAGATGCTGCTGAGATCCAGTGTTTCTCCCTAACCTTATGGTTTACCGTACTTGCAGATACCACTGCCGTTTCTACAGCTTTATGGATGTCATTTCACGCTGTCTCGGGGTGGGCATCACTTACATGGCTGCCTTACTTTTTCTAGATGTTCCTGAAATATACTCTTAGCTTGACTATCATTAAGTAGGACCCTAAGGGGTTTCCTTGCACCATCTTTCCTACGTCCAGTAAGACGTAAACAAATACGCGCTCGCACTAGTGCATGATCTGAGTCTAAGCATGTGCTCCAGAATGAGCGACAGTCTTCTATCGAGCCCCTCCATCGGTGGTTGATAGCGATGTGATCTATTTGGGTCCAACGTTGGGACGAATTAGAGGGTCGCCATGTCAAAAGATGTCTTTCCTTATGCTTAAAGTTAGTGTTTGCAAGAAACAGGCGGTTATCCGAGCTTAGCCGCCAGGGACGGTCGCCATTATCTGTTCTTTAAGCCGCGACACCATAAGATCCACTCAGGTGTCTTTCCCTTTCGCTTAGTTTACCTACTTGAGCATTAAAGTCATCAGCCACTATTACTACATCTGAACGCCTAGCTTTTCGGAGAAGGTCGGAAAGCTTTCTGTAGAACTCATCTTTTACATCATCTGAGCTGTAGTCAGTGGGAGAGTAGGCAGAGATGACGAACAGGCAACGACGAGTGTCCCTATCTTTCCGAGACATTACTGTTCTGTTTAGTCGGACAGAGCACAAACAACTGTCTACTGGGATCCAGTCTAAAAGAACTAGTTCTGCCCTAGGACTCAATGCTATACCTACGCCAGCGAGGCCACGGGAAGCAGCATCAGGGCCTCCAGATACACGAAGTGTAAATCGAGTTGGTTCGTTACTTTGACATGGTGAGTTCAAATGAATGACACTACTCGGATCCTGTGTGCGCGTTTCGGAGACGCAGCACACATTGATGGCGCGAGATTCTAAAGTCTTAGCTAAGGAAGAGTGTTGTCCTATTTGGCACAGTGTTCGGACGTTGAAAGCTCCTACGTGTAGTTTGGAGCGTGGTTTCAGGAGACCAGGAATAACGTTATTAGGAGATGTAGGAAGGATTTGAATGTGACCAACTTGGTCTCGTGTGTTGTTACGGGTATGAGGGATGATGTCACTTCTCGGCTGCCCATATCGTGGGAGGGTATTTCTTGGGGAACCTGAAAAGGAAATTGGATTAGTGTTGGTCTTGAAGACCTGGGAGCGTGACCGCAGAGCCCAATTGACAACTGCTTGAGGCCGGTCGCGCACGGCCTTTTTGTGGGAAGTTTTTAACGTGTTAGCTCCGTTTTTCAAAGGGCCTTACGACCGGAGACGGAAATCAGTGGGGTAAGGTGAGGTGTGACAATTTTAGGGTCAACCTTTTCTAACCCCTCCTTTCCTTGTGAGAAGGCAGCGTCGCTGCAGATGCTGGTTGTCCGAGGGAAACACCTTACTGCTGTCACGTCCCTCTACAGTCAGCAGTACGACTTCGCCCTCAGACCTTGAGTTGCTGCTTTTAGTCTTACCGTTCTCCAATCGACCTGCCTGGCATGGTAGAACCTGCAGGAACATATGTTCGAGCCAATATAGTTTGGTTGGGTCATCGCGATAGGCAAGCCCGACCACCACGTCAAGGTAGCAGTTACGGTCGAGAAATATACATACACTTAGTCAATGTAGACTCGGAAAAATGTTTATCAATACCTCTTTTAGCACGAGACTGTATTGTATCTCTTAATTCTTTGACCTGTTGGTTTGATGGTTGTATCGCCAATATATTATCACAACACCGAGTTGCGTTTTCATAGTCCTATGAGGTGTTACGTAAACAAATGCACTTACTGACAGCTTAGTGTGAGCTACTGCCAAATAAAACAAACAGTCACGCCGTAGACTATCATCTTTTGTGCGATTAAACAATTCTGCAAGTAGTATTATTTTACTGAAACAAACCTTCTAATAACTTAACGGAGAGATTAAGTGCCTCTTTACGAGTAGTACGAAGGAGGTCAACGGCATAATGGAACTGAACTCCATCGTCCACTATGCCACTTTCAGTCATAACAACAAAAGCATCTCTTGATTCCTGACAGAAATTAATTATAAAACTTCAATTACTTGAATGGAAAATATGGGTTCATTCTTATCAAGCAAATCCATGTTTGAAGAATCTCGTTAAATGATTTTGACAACTATAACGTAGAATAAAGCCGTGAGCCACTTGTGGTCAAAATTTCAACCTGTGAAAAAAGAGCCGGTATGAGAAAAGATTGAACATGTTTATCTAGCATAAAATTCATTTAAAACTGAAGATAGCGTAAAACCTAGTTAAGTAAATTTTTGAACGGTTTCCATAGGTGAAAAAATACTACTTCTGATGTAGAGGCATCTATAATGTATAAGTAAATATGGTTTTAAAGAAAATAGAAGTACGTCAACTTTGACAGCAACGTACCGTACACCAAGTGGCTTGACAGGTTAGCAAACTTTAAACTATTTCACCATGAATTATGAGGTGACTTGGTTACGACGTGTAGGATACTGAGAAACGGTTTTGAACCCGAAAAATCTCCTGTCCCCTGTTAGTCTAGGACAACTGAGAGGACATAGTAGGTAAAATCGAAGGCCATTAACGAATAGAATTCATGTAGTATACAGGTCATTCTACAAACTAGTAGTCTCATTGGACAGTGATGAATTAGAAGTGTTCACTTTTTTAACTGAATCTTTCGGGAGATTAGATATTTACAGAAGGCTATCAGAAAACTCAGTTGTTAAAAAACAAATCTGAACTTAAGCTCCAAAGCTCTAGAGTATATTTCCAATTGAAACAAATTTTAATGTGGTTCACATTAAAGCCAATTATATCTTCACTACACCAACTATTGTTCTCAGGTATTTAATGGCGAGACTCTAATTTAAGGACGAGTAAATCAGAAGCCGTTTCAAGGTCACGGAGCCAAGTTTAACACCTGATGCTCACATATAATCGGTTTACAGCGGATTTTAGAGAAGGGGTGATTATTGAGAGGCTACAAGGATAGGATTACTAAAACGTTCTTGTACATGAGATTGCGGTTATCAAATGACCACAGTAAAGTGTGCAAACCACCGTGGTGAGATTATATTTCGTTGTCCTTTATGTTGGAGGAGAAAGTCTGCTAGAACGGGGACTTTCTTTGCTCGATTGCTACTGAAACTAAATCATATTATGATAATAGTTGCAAATTGGGTAATAAATACACCAGTAACACCGGCTGCGTCGTTTGCAGTTGTTAATGAAACTTCATCAGTCCAGTGGCCACTGGACTGCCGTGCAACTAAAATAACACTTGTACACCAACCATTCGGAGGAGTAGGATGTATCGTGAAGACAGATGAAACGGCAGTGAGAAAGCGAAAATACAACAGGGGACGTAGTATAAAGTAGGGTTGTGTAAGTAGCATTTCCGTAAATATACTCGACAGGTACTTGGAATTTATGACTTTTTATACCGTATGCAATATGATTTCAAAACATCTGAAACTTTAGCAAACCTTGATAAGTTTTTAAATCATGTAAAAGAAGTATATTCACTGTAATCCATTAGTTTCTTCTAATATATTTCTACGTTATACTAGCTGTCTTCTGATTGGCTGATATTCTCAAGGTCACTTAAAATTCGTTCAAAGGTCGTCCCTAAATTAGAGTCTTGCCTACTTTAATAAACTATGTCTGAGTAACGCCTATTTTTAGGTATTACGGCAATCAACACTTTTCAGTTCTCAATAATTAGGATACGAAGTCTATCGACCTATATTAATCTTCGCCGTTTATAATACTGTGGCGGTCTAATGTTGACTTGATTATATCAACAAGAAGTGCTGATATTACGTGTTCCGGTAGAGAATTCCAGTAGTTCACTACTCGATGGGAGAAACGAAAATCCGGACGGAGATGATTTGGTCTCGTTTTTTAAACTTTCTTAGAATATCTTCTAAAGGATCAGTTTTAAACCGAATGAAAATATAAAGCAAATTGATACCAAGGTCATCATTCAGTATACGATAAACCACTATTAGATCATCCTGTAATCTACAGTACGATCCACCTGCAACTGCACAGTACTATCCGTAGTGAACCTGAGCGCTAACTTGGTGTTCCGAAAACTACAGCAACTAAAAAAGACACTTCTCTTGGTCTATATATGGTTCATTTTACTGTACTGAGAGAAGCGGCTTCAGTTCTGGCAACACCGCTTAGCATGATGTTCTCACATTCGTCAAGCCGAAGCACATTATCATGAAATTGAGAACTTCTCTCTAAACCCTCAAAGTTGTGGAGTTCTTGACATGCGACAGTATACACGACTACCTACTATTCACAAACTTCTTTTCACACCAACAGCATGGTTTCAGGAAAAGGACACTCTTACACAACCAACCCACCGAGTGCGGTGGACAAACGGACAACCACCCTTGATCGCAAGGGGAAGGACGACGTCATTTACCTTGACTTCTCAAAAGCTTTTGATGGAGTCAATCATATATATGTCTTATCAGTAAGCTAAAACGATTAGTTATCAAACCACCTTTAATTTATCGGCTCACTTCATATCTAAAAAATCGACATTTCAAGGTCAGGGTCAACTTCACTTTCTCTCAGGCTATGGGATGCCCTATTGGGGTTCCTCTGGGTTCAGTACGAGGACCTCTTCTTTTCTCGATTAACATAAACGGTCTTCTACAGCGAGCATTGTCAGATTTATTACTTTTCGCTGATGATGTGGAACTCTGGAGAGAAGTTCATAACCAAGAGGATATACAGGCACTTCAGGAAGATCTGAATCGACTTCAAAGTTGGGCAGACGATAACGGATGTACCTCTAGCACTTCAAAGTGTAAGGTAGTCCATCTGAGACGTCTTGCAGACTACAGTTACAACTTAGGAAACCCCTCTCTAGTAGTATCCCGAGTCGAAAAAGTCCTGGTACCCTACGATTTGAAGTCCTACGCTAACTGTGACAAAAATGCCTTTCGAGCAAAACTTGCACTGGCAACATTGAAGCGAATTTTTTCGCCAGTTTGACGGGAGAACTTTCCACACAATCTCCAACAGTTTTATTCGTCCCCATTTAGAGTACGGGAACATGGTATTTTCTCCCTCACTCCAAATGAATAAGGACACTCTGGAAAGTATCCAACAACGAGCCACGAAATCAGATCGGGGACTAAAATTTAAACCTTATGAGGGGCGCATCTAATCACTGAACCATTATCCATTATAGTGTAAGCGTCTTAGAGGTGACCTTTTAATGGCTCACAATATCCTCAACACTTCTGGACATCCCCATAAACACCTACTTAAGCTCAGTCCCGACACAAACTCTAGGGGTAACATCCAGAAAATGGAGATATTGTAACAGCTTAGGCGCGAAAATACAACATGGCAACACGGACTGTAGACACAACTTCTACCCCTTAAGAGTTGTCAAATGCTGGAATTCGCTGCCGGCTAAGCTAGTCCAAGCGACTTTTCAGGAGTCCTTTAAGAGGCATTTTCATCTATTAAGGACTAAAGACAGTATCTAACTATGATTTAACATTTTCTTTCTCTTCATTTATCGTCAATATACGTAGGTTCGTACCTGTAGGTATCGGTGTTCCACTGCTACTAGATACAGAAGCCCCTTAATCGTAGAACAAGAGTAGAGATGCCCTATTGGGGTTCCTCTGGGTTCAGTACGAGGACCTCTTCTTTTCTCGATTAACATAAACGGTCTTCTACAGCGACCATTGTCAGATTAATTACTTCTAATGCCTTAACACTTCTGGACATCCACTTCAACACCTACTTAAGCTCAGTCCCAACACAAACTTTAGGGGTAACATTCAGAAACTGGAGACACAACACAGCAGTACGGACAGTAGACACACCTTGTACTCCTTAAGTGTAGTCTAGTGCTGGAATTTGCTGCCGGCTGAGCTAGTCCAAGTGATTTTCCAGGAGTTTTTTAAGAGGCAACTTGATCTATTCTTAAGGACTAAGGACAATATCTAACTATGATTTACCAATTTCTTTTTTCTTTTCCCTTTTTATCGTTTGTATACATAGGTTCGTACCTGGAGGTATCGGTGATCCACTGCTACTAAACACGGAAGCCCGTGAGGTGGAAGCCTCTCATATTCCATCCACAACCTTTTGATCTGAAATTTGTTGAGATGTCTCAGTATATCTTCATATGATACGCTATAGACTTTTTACTACTGTAGTTCCTCGTCGTTGAACTTGTTCTAGAATATCTGCCTTATACCTGAATCGCAATTTTTAATTGTGGTCGCACAAAAGCAGGGCATAACAATCCAAATGCTTCATGCAAATACCGGGAAGATTCACGACTAGACCATAATATCCTATAGCTTTTTGCAACAGCAGCCTCTAAGTGACTGGTAGTTTTGAGATCACTGCTTAGCATGGCTCTTAAACCTTTATAGTTTCTTACTTTGGGTAACACAAATCAACATATTTTGCGGTGATAGGAATCATAATATTCATTAAATTGCATCACCACATTCTCGTTAATATTCTCTTCCATTGATAACTCGTCCATTCATGCCATCAATGAGTTGAGATCATTCTGTAGTACTATTCCATCTGACATGCTATGTATAAGTCTCCGAATCTTGATGTCATCGTCGAACAATAGAACGGATTTCTTCGCTACGGTTATTAATTCATTTTCATAGAATGAAATGGATCACGCATTGTACCTTGGAGAAATTCAATTTCTACAGGTTCCGACACTGAGAAAGCTCCATTTGCCCTTACCCTCAATCTCCTACAATTGAGAAAGTCACATATCCAGACTATAACCCTATAATGGATTCTAAAACTTCTTAGCTTTAACTTAAGTTCAGAATGAGAGACCTTATCAAAGTCTCTACTTAGATCTATGAAAATTACATCTCCCAGGAAATTCTAACGACAGATTTCACGAGTCGGTTTTAAATCCATCGGTGGCAAACGAAAAGCCTATCGCTACGTATGGCAAAAGGTATGTTTATGTTAACGTGGGTTTACGCAAACCCATTCACTGGATCTTTGTCGTTGCAGATGTTTCTATGCCAATCATTGGTATGGACCTTCTACAGCACCATAACTTAATCATTGATACGCGCGA